ACAGTACACAATAAAAGTGACAAAGGAAAAGAAGAAAAAATAAGTTTGGAGGGAGGAAAGGGAACTTAAATACAAAGTATCGAAAGAATAAAAAGTATAAAACGATAAACAACCGAATATTAAAATATTTCAAGATAAGTAAGTTAGATATTACCAATACATACAAATTCTCGGGTATAAGGAAAAGGAAAATAAAGAAAGAGAGGAAAGAAAGTAAGTAAACAAAACGAAAACAAATAACAGTAAACTATTCTTTCATAGGAAAATTAATTCAGTGAAAAGAGAAAACTAGTTAGTAAGAATAAAAAGCAGAAAAATATAGAAAGTAGGAAACTTTGTAAATAGAAGAATCAAACTAAAACAAAATTGGAAAACAGTAGAGAAGTTCGTAAAAATAAGAAAAATGAAATTAAGAAAAAAAAATTGCACCATAATAAAAACATTATAATCAATAAAGAGCAAAAAATACAAGTTATTAAGAAACAGAAAAAAAATAATATAAACAATCGGATATCAAAACATGTTAAAGTAAGTAAGTTAGGTATTAATGAGAAATGGAAACGTGACAAAAACTATTCGTAATGTTTAATGATAACATAAGGCAACAGAAAACAGTGGACTATTTTATAAAAATTAGTAAAAATAAAAGACAGAAATAAATAGAAAGAAATAAAATGTGTAAATTCAAGAATCAAAAGAAAAACGAAATTGACAAAATAATAGACCCTTATTTTATAAAAAAAAATGAATTCAGTTAGCAAAGAATAGAAGTTCGTAAGAATAATGTAATTAAAATTATGGGAGAACGAATAAAAAGAAGGAAAGAAAATATGCGGGATAGTAAAAACAATAAATGTTATTAAGAAAAAGAAAAAATAAGTATGTAAGTAGGGAAAACAACTAAATTTCAAAGTATTTTTTTTCAAAGATAAAAAATATAACAAATAAGAAACAATCGTATATCAAAACATGTTAAAGTAAATAAGTTAAATATTAATGAAAAATGGAAACGATATAATAAAAATTTCCACCCATGAGATATTGTAGTTAGTAAGAATAAGAGATAGAAAAATATGTAAAAAGAAAGAAGAATCAAGTAAAAGCGAACTTGGAAAATAGTCGACTTTTATTTAATGAGAAAATGAATTTAGTCAGCAGAGAATAGAAATTCGTGAGATTTAGAAAAATAAAATTAAGAAAGGATCGAAGAAAAGAAAGGAAGACAATAGTGCTGCATAAATAAAATCAACAAATGGATAGACGGCGAAAAATAAAAGTTAATAAGAAAAAGAAAAAAGGGAATTAAAATTCAGAGTATCCTTTTTTAAAGATAATTAAAATATAATAAGAAATAAACGAAAATAATATTATTTGCTTCATATTTCAAGTCGTCTTCTGCAGACGACGTCAGTAAGCGTTTACTGAATAAATGAACTAAAAATAAAAACAAAATTAAAAAAAAAACAAATAAATATATAAGGCGGGCCAAACAATAACAGCACAGTACTATTAATTTTAGCAGGATTAATCTCGGAAAATGCCAAGGATAGGAATGATAAACGAAGAGGATGGAGAATGTAAACGTGTTTGAACCAAACGTTAACAAACACAATGAAATAAAGACAATTACGAACGATGCGGAAGAAAGAAAAATGCCAAAACTACACCGCTGCGTCGAGACCAGTTCTAGTAAAAGCACATATTTATCTCGTCGTAATGGCATCTCACTGTGAGGAAAGTCAATCCCGAACCGCTCAGTTTATTCATGCAGCATTCATACAATTGACAATCGCGCACTATTCTTTTATGGCTTTACAAGTGTTTAACTTCCAGTTAATATATCTATTAGGCACGTGTTGTCGTCGACGCAATCGTGTAGCTTCGTAATTGAGAAAATTTTCGGTGAAACGCTTGCACGTACGACATTTTTCTAGAATTAATATTCGGAAGAGAATAGAATAACGAAATAACGCGCGGAGGTCACGCGTTAGTATCGTTTAAGATGTGGGACTGCTGGAGTGCCCGATCTAGACTACCAGGGGCCAGGAAGTGGGTGGTACCGCGAAGTAACTGCCTCGCTGACCCGAGGGTACTACTGATCTATGAGCCGCGGTGATGCATGAAATACCAAGTGACCAAAAGAAGCTGTAGTACCGGCTTGGGTAGGTCTAATGTTAACGGACAAAAAGAGTCTAATCGATTTGGTTGGGTTAAAATCATGTCCTGCCTTCGGGCGCGGTTTGGACGGAATTATTTAATTACGAACGACGAAAGGTAAACTTGGTCCGCGGTATAAAATATTATTCACGACGCGGTTCCAAAACAAGGTCCGACGCAGATTACAGAGGATGATACACGTATTTCAAACTGCTACTCCGGCGCTTGGGTTATTATTAGTGACCCTCGGGTGACGATGCGTGTTTGTTTTTGCTGTTTTATGCACGCCCATTATTGATTGGTCGGCGAACCTCCTCCCGGCGCAGTCCGTGCATTTCCTATTCGTTTTCGCCCGAAAAGAACGAGTCAAGTTTCCCAACAGTTTTGGAAAGATCCACAAAAGTGCAAAAAATGAAAAAAGTACCTAAATAAAAACAAAAAGAAATGAACCAAAAGAAAATGAATTCTGGTAGCAGAGAATAGAAGCTTGTAAGAATAAGGAAAATAAAATTAAGAAAGAAAAAAAATATTAAAATCGACAGATAGTGAAAATGAATAAAATAATAAGCATGTAAGTAGGGAAGAGAACTAAAATTTAAAGTATTTTTTTCCAAAGATAAAAAAATATAATAAATAAACGATAAACAATCAGATATTAAAATATGTTCAAATAAGTTAAATAACAAAAATTCTAGCGTAAAAGGTACAGAAAAATATAGAAAGAAAAGAAAGTAAATTAGTAAATAAAAAAACCAAACGAAAACAGGACACAGTGGACGACTATTTCATAAGAAAATAAATTCAGTGAGAAGAGAATAGAAGTTAGTAAGAATAAGATACACAAAAATAAAGAATCCAGGAAAATTTGTTAATAGAAGCATCAAACGAAAATGAAATTCAGACAGCAGAGAATAAATGTTCCTAAGAATAAGAAAAACGAAATTAAGAAAGGAATAATGAAAACATGGCACTATAATAAAAATATTAAGAACGAATAGATAGCGGACAATAAAGGTTAGCAGGAAAAAGGAGAAAGAACAAGCATCTAGGTAGGAAGAAAAAATGAATTTTGAAATGCAACAAATAAATGATAAACAATAGGAGATCGAGGATATCAAGTAAATTCTCATGTATAACAAGCAAAACGATTAAACATATTTTTGTTATCCAAAACATTTTATAGTCTACAGGAATTTTTTTGAGAAAATGTTTTTTTATATCTCTATGTATTTTGTAGTGTTTTGTAGTTGTCTTTGGGAAAATAAATATTATTATTATTATTATTATTATTATTATCATTAATTAATACTTCAATGAAGAATAAGATGGTGAAGCAAATATATTGTAAAAAATAACCCAAGTGATATTAGATAAAATAAAATTCGATATCGAAACAAAGCGATAGAATATTCAGTAAGTAGAGTAACGAGAAAAAGCACACACTGCGGATATAGTTATTAATGGTTATCGAAAATATATATATATATATATATATATATATATATATATATATATATATATATATATATATATATATATATATATATATATATATATATATATATATATATATATATATATATATATATATATATATATATATATATATATATATATATATATATATATATATATATATATATATATATATATATATATATATATATAATATATATATATATATATATATATATATATATATATATATATATATAGGAACGAAGATGATAAATTGCTCGCAAGGTTTTAGATTTTGCGGCAGATTAGTTGGTTTATTGACCGAATCACATTAAAGCATGCAGTAGTAGAAAGTAAAAGGAAGAAAAATGTATCGAATAGTCTATTAATTAAATCGAGATTTATATTCAAATTAGGTTCAATTATGGGCGTAGTTCAGGTTATAACATTTTCTGAGTATTTAAGTTTGTTAAAGTTTTCGGCATCTTCAAACCTATTGTTTTAAGTACACTTAATGACGTTTGTTTAAAACGTGTTATTAGCAGTATGAACGTCGTTTTTCAAGATTGCGTCTTTAAATGTAAATACACATCGACATGTTTTATTAACTCGCTTTCAAAATCGACTTTTTCAAACTAGTCAGTACAAATTATCAGATCATCTCTGTGCGAAAGGATATCGGACAGTTTTCTCACACAGCGCACGTCATGTGAAGGGCGACGGACAAAAAACAACAACCGTTCGATGTTTTTCCTTTCGTGTGGCCGACTGAAAAAAAAAACGTGATATTCAAGATGTTACTTTCTTTCGATGGGCATGCAGCGTTTATTGTTACTTAAATTAAAGATTTAATCGATTATTATTTTTGCGTTTTATTTTTCGTGCACCGTTCACTTCAATAAGGAAACCTCTCAATTAAAACGTTAATTGCGAATTCAATAATTAAATTACTCGTTTCGACTCCCTCGCGTCGTTGCGTATCGTGAGGAAGCGAAACACGATGGTTCTCGATGCGAGATCAGCAAGGGAACGAAATTGAAATAGCGGATATCGAATTAGGCAAGTACAACTAGTTGAAACTTCAAATTATAGTGTTGAATTAGTAATTTCTGCAAAAACAAAGGACAGTACAAAGAAATAAAAAAAATTAATGTTAAAAAGAGAGTGGGACAGAGAGAGAGGGGGAGAGAGAGAGGGGGAGAGAGAGAGGGGATAGAGAGAGAGGGGGTGAGAGAGAGGGAGGGGGAGAGAGAGGGAGTGAGAGAGGGGGAGAGAGAGGGAGTGAGAGAGGGGGAGAGAGAGGGGTAGAGAGAGAGAGGGGGTGAGAGAGAGGGAGAGGGAGAGAGGGAGAAAAGGAGAGAGAGAGAGAGAGAGAGAGAGAGAGAGAGAGAGAGAGAATAAATAACATTCAACTAAGAGGACAGTTAAAGTTAAATAAGCAATTGGTATGAAATCAAAATTGAGTACAAGAAGAAGAGGAAGAATACATCCAACAAGATAGTAACAAAATTAAAGCAAGAATGAAGAAATAAATAAAACACAACGACCAAAGCATATTTATATCCATACTTAAGACAAGCAATTTTTAGAAAATAGTTTAGTACAAAGAGAAAAGCAAATAAACGAAAAGTGAAACAGAAGCTAAATGCAAATCAATATTGAGCTTGTAGAAAACAGTAAGCGTTAAAGTTAAAAGAATAATTGTTAGAAAGGCACAGGTGAGTATGTGCAAAAGAAGTTAAAATAAAAATAAACAACTCGCTATAAAACAATATTGTGGTTATTTAAGGTTAAAAAGCGACGATGCGAAACAGGGGTTGAACATAGGAATAAAGCGAGAGAAAAAGCGAAGAATAACTTAAAAAGCAGAAGGAAAAGACGAAATTATATGCAACGAAGCTAGAAGTGACACGAGTATGCAGTGTAATCATAACTGCCGCGTTTCACCTACCGCAGCATATCGTATAGGTAATTGTGCCTTTCATTTGAGCAATTAAAATAAATTAACAAAGTAATTTTTGTTTTTATTTTTATGTAGCAATTTGTCGTCGTACTTACAGTAACTTTCGCTGGCGTCTTCCTAACGGTATAACAAAAAAAAATCAAAAAGCATAAGCGTTGCGTTAAACGTTTCACAGGCGATCGACAAAAAGGAACAAAACCATAACAATGTCGGCAAAAAAACAAACCATTTCATCAAAGTTGAAGAATCCAGCGTATAAAGGCTCTATAATAAATAGAAGAAAGTTGATCCGATCGAGCGTAAAATAATTGGAAAGTGATTTTTATTGCCGTCGCGACTAAAAATAGGGGAAAAAAGCGGTCACAAACGAACCATTTAGTTTAATTTATGCGCGATGTAGAGCAATTTGTAGTTCTTTGCTAATGTATCATCCATTCTTTAAAGGCTCGTAATTGCGTTCACGTTTAACCTCCAGTTTAGAAGCAACGCTTAATTAGTTACTGCAACGTCCGTACTGCCGTTTGTTAGACCTAATATGGACGTCTCTTTGCTTCCTGTCTCGATGGATGAAATTTTATGAGAATTTTTGTCGTTTTTTCCGTTGGATTTTTAATTAGATCGGCCGCTTACCGTGTAATTATTTGAAGTGGGGAGAGCGCACCGATATACCATTCGGAATTTCAAGTTGAAGATTACTTACGTCAATTATTTAGTATCCGATAGTCAAATAGAATTGAAGACATAAGAGAAAATATTTATGAAAATCGGGAATATTGGAAAAGTGAAGGTAGCTAGTTAAGTAATGGCTCACAGAGGGAAAATGGAGGAAGAAGTAAGACTAAAATATTTGTTATGGTCAGATGAGGAACTAAAAATAGAAGATTGAACTACAATAGAGCAGACGACATGGTAGATGTGTTGATGGTATCCCCCAGAAAAAAGAAATATTTTGAGAGGCAGTCTGGATTTATCGCAGACTGCTTTTCAAATTAAGGAAAAGTTCTTGGGGATATTGTATGATATGTTCGGCGGATTTTGATATCATAAAATATGAGCTCTGACACTTTTCACTTGTCAGACGGTTTCCAAAGGGTTCAACTTCGAAATTACAGAGTTGAAGAGGCAAGTTCTTTTCAAATGTGTATTAATTTTAGTTATTTGAATCAATTATACATTGGTCACCAAATGAATAATTCGATATTTGTTAGAATTTTGGACTCACAAGAGAGAGAGAGAGATGTGTTGCCCAGATACATCACAGAAACTTTAACAGAGAGAGAAGGTAAAGAAACAGCAATGAAAGACGATTAACACATGAAAATGATAAAGAACAACAATTAAAGACAATTAACAACAGTTATCTGCTTGAATGAAAAGCATCAATCATGGTTACAACTCAGTAAATTATAGAAAACGTTGAAAAGGGGAAAATAACAGATGGCGAAATCGAAATCAACAGTCACAGAGGATCCGACCGGTTAGGTACGTAAATAAGGTGCTCCTTAACCCACGCATGCTTTTTACGGCATCTCGCCAATGAGCCGTCAAAACTGTTTGCGGAATTCCCGTCCATCATCTAGCCCAACGTGACCGAGCCGTCAAGAAGACCACACACTCAACAGACGGCTGTGCATTCGAATAATTAAATCTAAATGCGAATTCTTAAATACCAAGTTTACTATTTAATTCAACTCGGATAGCTAACCGATTGCATAACGAAATCATTCATTAATTTATCCGGTTTAACCTTTTGCTTTCCCAGTGGCTTTTGCATTCCTTCGCATCGGAAACTCATAAAATACTTTGTCAGTCTTGCCCGTAAAGCTAGGCAACATTTTTTTCTACGCGTTTTTATCTAACTTACGCAGATTTTGTACCTATAACATACCGCGGAAGGTTTGCAAATCAACTGGATGAAATTCATCTGGTTCTGGTTTAGAAACATGGTCTATTTTTTGTTGTGTAAGGGGGAGAATTGTGGTTGTGGATTAAAACTAATGAAATAAATTTTTATAGGACTGAGAAGTATTAGACCTAGAAATGCTGGAACTAGGACGCTGGCACTGTAGGATGCATCATCCAAATATGAAGCTTATTGTCAGAATTAGAGAGTAAGTAGAAGAGAATAATTCTGAGGCTTTTTTTATGAAATCAAGGTTCAATTTGTTTCGTAAATTTTAATTGCAATTTCAAAATTTTCGCTTTTGATTTATTAAAAAAAAACATTGTTTTATATTGTAACAGTCCATTCATAATTTTTAAGTAGTTTTTATCATCTTACTATATTTGAAATAAAAATATACTGTTCTAAAGGCAATTTAAATGTGAACCACCTATGAGTTACCGTCATACCAAAAGTAATAACCAAAATAAGGACTCGTATTCATCTTAGTTAGACACCCTATCTAGAAGCCCGTAAGGTAAGTCAAAAAATTACTCTTTTCTCTTAATCTTGAACTTTGAAATGTCAGATGAACCGCGATGACACAGATGAAAACAATCCTTTGAGTTTACAAACCCACCCACTCATATAGTGTTGAGTTAAAATAAACCCATCCATCAGGTGTCCGAGTGGAATATCACAGCTGCGATCATGTATTGCCGTTGTTGCTGCTATTATTATTATTGTTGCTATCTTCGTTGCCTTGCTTGCCGCCGTCCTCGGTTTTAGCGTTATTGTTATCATCGTCTTTATGTGATGTCTCCGAGCTGGTCGAGGACCTCGACGAGAAATTGTCTTTGTCGGAGAAGTACGACGAGTCGCGTTTGACGTCGTCGACGGGAGAGTCGGGTTTGTTGTTCTCTGGTATGTTCTTTCCCGTGTCGAACAGCTTCGAAGCTAGCGGTAACGGGAAGTTTGCCAGGTTCTTGGGCGGCTGCAGGTGTTGTAATAGTCTTCCGTCGGTCACTTTGCCCATAAACGATCGGATCTCCTCGAAATAGGATTCATCACTTAGGTTCCTGTTCATGCTCCTCCTCTGCACGTTTCTCTCGTCCAAGATCGTCGGTCCGTCAGCCTCGTGCTTCTTCAAGTGACGATCCAAATTCGTCTGTTGTCCGAAACATCTCTCGCATAGCGGACACTTAAACGGTTTCTCTTTGTTGTGGATATTCCTAACGTGTCGCTGCAAGTTGCTGGATATACTAAAACTCCGGTCGCAGTATCTACATTTGTATGGTTGTTCGCCCGTGTGGGTTCTGAGGTGTCGAGTAAGGTTCGCCGATCTGGGGAACACTTTTCCGCAAAACTTGCAGGCGTATCGGTCTTTGACTTTGCCGGCTGCCGGGTCGAACACTTTGGGCGTGTTCGCGGCCGTGTTCGACGCGTTTCTCAGCATGTCGAAAGGAACATTGTTCACAGGAGGACTGAGCATGTTGGGACTCAGGAACGGGTACCTTTGAGGGTAGTTAGGGGACTGCGGATAAGGTAAAGGCAGACGAGGCACTTTGTCTCCGCCTTGCGCGCGGTACATCGCCTCGAGCATCATGGGGTGAATTGGTTGGGGCGGAAACAGCATGCCGGGATACGCGGGGAGTTGGGGGGAGAATGCGGGTTTTGGAGCTGAAGTCGTCGACAGAGGCGACGTCCGATCTTCGACTACCACGTCGTCTTTTTCGCTAGACGTACTTGGAGTGGGTGAGATGATGTTGCGGTTTTCGTCCTCGATCTGGAAACAATGAAAACCAAATTGAAGTGAAGTTGAAGGTAATGGCAGATCCAAGCTAGGGTTCATGAACCATCATTAGTAAAGTTTTTTGAAAAAAAAATGAAGCACAGATGAAAGCATAGTTTTAAATATAGCCTTACCTGTCTTCTCATGATAATTAAACTAAGCTTTTTGTGTTCCACTCTTAAGTCGAGAGGTTGTTCGTCGCCTTGAGGCTCTTGAGGTCCGGGAGGAGGTCGACCGGCGGGACTCATGTGAGGCCCCGGCGACGACCGGCTCGTGTTTCTGCTTAAGTCGAAGGGAGCGTCTTCCGGCGGCGGTACGCGAACCGAGAGGGGATATACCGCCGCCTGTTTCGGCGACGAGTGGCCGCCCTGGGCGACTAACATTTTCCGGGGCGAGGCGTCCTTTTCTCGCATAATAACGGCCGGCGGTATTTGGTAGGGGCGACAGCGGGGGAGCCAGAACAGGTGGGGGCTACTGCAGGCCGCGTCCGCCGTGGACATCGGGGGTGTGGGCAAGGGGCGGGCCCGCAGCTCTGCCGGATCTGCAAGGAAATACGGTTTTAATGATCGAGTCAAATTGATACATATGTATCGTTTAACAAACGTTATAAATACTGCGCAAAAATATATCGCATAATCGGAAAAGATGCGAGCAAAACAATCATCTAAAGAGATCAAGTAGGCACTTGTCAGTCAGAGCGTTGACAGAATAACGAAATGCGTGAATGAAAACTTATGTTGCGAAGTTAGTGAATATTAATCAATCAAGTCTCTCGGTATGGAGAACCTGGAAGGTCTGTTTTTGCATGTCCTCGCTTGACAAGCCGTCAAGATGATTGTTATTTGCGTTTGCAGGAATAAGGCGTGTTACAACTGCAAAATGACTTACGCGATGTGCGAAATACACGCCCAATCGTTAACACAGAAGCGAATACGACCAAAACTGATGTAGTTGTAGCCACATTGGTAGTTGTAGCCACATTGTGTGCGCCATATGAGGTTTGCCGGGGAACATGTAAATTAACGACTGGTTTCATTTTTCAAAGAAACTTCCACAGGCTACTGTGATACTTTTTACAAAACTTCTGGATTCCTCCTGCGTCGGTTTTTGCTGAGTCGAACTTGCTGACGTTTCGCCAATCATCCTGACGATTCTTTTATGTGTTTTTCATTACAATGTAGTACAGAATTAGTTGTAATGAATAGGGGAACAATCACTGTTGACAGATATATAAGAGACATTTTAGAATCATATGTTGTAATTAATACATGATAATGCAAGACCACACCTGGTAAGAATTTCATCTAAATATCTAGTAAGGTTTGGATGGTTTAGAATTATATAGAGCACATCTGGGACCATCTAGTACTTAATTTATAAATGCAAAGGAATCTCCTAGAACTCGAACATGCTGTACCTGAAGAATCAAAGAATAATTGAATTGAAATTATTAAATTGGCAGAAGTCATTTATTGTTTATATGATCCTCAAACATGAAAATTGTCAAAGTGTGAAAAATGTATCATTCAATACTTTTTTGTGGAGATTGAACGCAAATCACAATTATTTTGACGTCAATCCTTGGTTCGTCTTTTAATAACAAATTGTAGTTCTTAAACCATTAACATTTTTAATATTAGAGCAATATATGAGTTATTTGAGCTCGGGATTCTACACTATAATATTTTCGATTAGCTATGAATGGCCGTATCTATAGAATAGAATTAGTATTATCAAATCACCAACTGAAAGTATTATTTTCAAGACAAAAAAAATATTAACGGAATGTTTTTGTTTCAGATTTTTCGGCATCTGCATCAATAAAACACTGAAGGGATTCCAGCTTCTTTGGCCACCTTTCTGACATTCTTTAGACACTGTTGATCGTTTTTGTGCCGAAAACTTCCAATAAAAGTTTTTTTTTTTCAAAATACATTTTAATAAATAGTCCTTCTATATAAAGGTTAACAATACAGTGAAGGGTACTGTGCAGCTATCGCTATATTTTCGTTCTCAGGTCTTAAATCTTGCCATATACGCAGACTTCAATATTTTTCGCCATATCCAATTATATTTCTCACTACACGAAGAGGCAAACGTGGGTGCCCACAAAACAATGGTGAAAATAGCTGTTTGACTAAAACGACATGCAAATTTTCAGGAAACGTAACAATGGGCATGTGTGGTCCTCGATACTTTTTTTCTCGGTTTAGCCGCTTCATATAAGGCACAATGATATCTTCATTAAGATCTAATCGCAGGAAAATTGCATCTCTCGCGTTAGGGGATGCCGATAAGTAGAAATATAAAATCAAATTTTCGAGCTTGTTGGCTTAAAGTTTGCTGAAAGAAGAAGAAAGGGAGGAATTTCAATTTGAAATGACATTTGTAAATGAATCTTTTAATTGCCGATATATTTGGACAAAAATTTACTTTACTGTCGATTTGTTATTACATGAAAAGAAGAATGAAGAATTGCTTAACAGAAGAACAGTTTGGCGTAGTTAGTTTGGAACAAATAAATACTTAGGCGAAATGAAATGTCTAATAACCGGAGTCAAAGTCCTGCCGTCGTGTAATGCGATCATTAGAATGCAAACGCCCCAACTCGACATTGCCGGACTCTAATTCACTAGTCGAGTGTGAAAAACCGATCGCTATCTTCCTCGAACTATTTTCGTGCAACGGTCGCTCGTTCCTGCTCCTCTTATCTCTCGTCCTGCAACGGCAGGCATTAGGCCGATCATAAAACAAACGGATGGACACAATCTTCCGAGTACGTGACACTTCCAAGACTGTAATGTGCCCGATAAAAACAATAGGTGTCGCGTTGGACGTGCAAAAGAACAACTGTTTTGCTTCGAAAATACAATGTTTTGCACGACGGTGTTTGTCGTTGCGACCGGAATGGTTTCTTATTAGAGAAATGCCGCGCTGTTCCCGGAATTATGGTGCGAATCCGTTTTTTTATGTTTGAGGTCATGTTCGCGCGGGATCGGTTGCGATGACCCTCGGGCCTAGATAATCACAATTTTCGATGGTTTTACGCTACTCAAGTTCAAGTTTCGAACCCCAGAAACCAGGACAGTTAAATAAAATAAATTTAATTATGTTAGCGATCAATAAAATGAAATAGGATTAAAAATGACTTGCCAAACTAGAGCCAAATTTGCAACCAAATGAACCAAAACCAACGATTTTTCAGCAACGAATTAAGGCACCTAGTGTTTTATAAAAATTGAAAAATACACCTATGAAATGGTGTTACAGAGCAAAATTTGAAGGATTTGCAAAAGGTAGTAGAAAGGTTTCCTCAAAAGCGAAACCTAATAACGCCGTCATATGATTTTTAAAAAATGAAAATATACCTACAAATTGGTAGATTTGATTTTTCTCTTTTCCTCGATTTCAAATATAAGTTGATAGTTCCTTCGACGACAGTGCTACTTTTGATGAGACTTACATTTTTTTTCTTCAATAACTAATAAACTTTTTGAAAATCAATTGCAACATTTTTACATCTTGTATTACAGTGTACAGTGTACAGCAAGGCTTGAACTGAGGTGACCTTTACTTGATGAAAATCCATTTAACATAATAAATAAGAACTAAAAGTTTAGATTTTCACGAAATTATATATTTTCACATGACAATTGTTTCGACAACACCGTGTCTTTCTCAAATGTAATATTTACAAACAACCTTTTACTGTATATACCGAAAGATGACAATAAAACCTTAATTAATGTTGTTGTGAGAATTTAAGTTTAATAAAGAAGAGGTATTTAAATATAATTGATCGTAAGGCAATACATTTGAATGTCTCATTATGTTAATCTCCATTGCTTCCAATAAATTTAATTTTCTACTTTCAGCAGCTGTATGTAAAATATCAGAATTGTCGTCAAAAATGTGTTTTTTGTATTTAAGTGTGTAGCATAATTAGAATGTAGACTATTGTTTTTAAACGCCCTTTTATGTTCGTTAATACGTTTCTTGAAGGATCTACCTCTTTGCCCAATATAAATTTTAGGACCAGATCCGCATTTCCACCTGTAGACACCTGATTTTTGAGATTTTGGACATTTCGTTTCATCGTTTTTTAAAAATTTTCCTATTATGTTGTTAGTTCTGAAAGCTATTTTTAAACCACATTTTGACAAATGTTTTGAAACTGTTCTGTACAAGGTTCGGATAAATAGAGTTTACTGTTGTCTGGATTTGGTTTTTATTTATAATTTTATCTATAATGGACGGATTGTAGGCGTTGTTCAGTGCAATTTGTTTGATGATCTTAAGTTCTTTGTTGTAATTTTCTGTTGAGAGTGGTGTATTAAGAAGTCTGTGTATAAAAGAGTGAAATGCAGCCATTTTGTGTGTATAAGGGTGATTTGAGCTGTTATGTATGACTGTGTCCGTGTGTGAAGGAATGGAAAAATCTAATTTGTTTTGCGTTTTCGTAATAGTTAAGTCTAAAAAATTAATACAGTTATCCTGTTCATTCTTTCATTTTATACGATTATGTATTGAGTTAATGTAATTTAAAAAAAAATCAATTGTCTGTCCGTTCTAAAAAAGCAAGCAACGATATCATCCACGTATCTATACCACCATAGAAAACTTTTACTTGAAGGATGTTTTACTATGATATTTTCCAAATTATCCATAAAAATCTCGGCTAACAAAGAACTAAGTGGGTTTCCCATAATCAAACCTTCCTTAGAGATGTAAATCTGACAATTAAATTCAAATTGAAAGATTGCTTAATAGTATCTTTAGACCAAAATTATTTTCATGAAAATCTCAACTTTTAGTTCTAATTTATATTGTCACAGCAAGGGTCTTAATATTTATGGAGATTAGTTTTTTTAGTGGATAATTTACATAATCTGAAGCAATTTGCGTTTAGTAGTTATAAAAAAAATATCGGAAGACCTATTTCTGCTATACATTATTCAAAATATGATCTGAATCTTGAAATGGAATTTTATTGTAAGGTTATTTAATTCACTTGAAAAAAAAAGCTCCAGAACTTTTTGAAGTTTAAAAATTTGTGCTATATTGTTAAGAGCGTACAATTAAAAATAAAAGAGTGTTTTTTGTTTTTTATATAATATTCATAACCTGGACCAATAACAATAGATCATGTTTAAAAAAAAACTTTCTACATATTGCTACCCGATATGGAGAGTGAGCATATTGGTTTCCATAGATGTTTTAAGTTTATATTAATCCAAGCTTTTTTTGGGTAACTCAGCACGCTCTGGCGAAATATTTAAATTGTAAAAACGAACGAAAATGTTCTTTAAAGTCCGTTATTTTTATTGCTAATTGTTTGCTGACACTAACTCTTTGAAATCTTTTTACTTTTGACTGTACATTGAATGTTAAAATTAATCCCGATACATTCAAGTCACTTCCAATTTTTGTGAACAATTACGACCTAATGAGAAGGTTGCACTGTGCAATAAATTAAAATATCTGGTAAAAGATAGACTGTGATAATAGTTAATAGTAGTAAAAATGTTTGTTTTATACTAT